AGACAAGAAACAACATGAACCCAGTATGTATGTAGTTCTGCCAGGAATTGGGTCTATTTCATGTATAAGGGTATATATCGTATATGTAATTCCCTTTGGAGAGTAGCAACCCAGGATGTCTGAAGTTCCTAAACTAGAACGCTTCAACAAAAAAACAGGTCCCCCGAAATGATCAATTTCTTTTTATATTGTATGAAAAAAATGAATTTTTCAGGCTCACCGAAGGTTACCTACCCCCCACGACCGGTGTCGTAGAACTATGAAAGGAAACTATTTTGCAATGAAAACCAATGGAATTAGGTGGTGTGCCTCAAAAAATTGATGAATATTCCCACTGGGGACCTACATTCTATGTATGTAGTTCTGCAAGGAACTGGGTCTCTTCCATGTATAAGGGTATATATGATATACTTAATTCGCTTTGCGGAGTAGCAACCCTGGATGTCTGAAGTTCCTAAACTAGAACGTTTCCAAAAAAAAAGGTCCCCCGAAATAATCAATTGCATTAAAAGAATGATTTTTTCAAGCTCACCGCAGGGTACCCCGCACGACCGGTGTCGGAGAACCATGAAAAAAAACAATTTTGCAATGAAAACCACTGGAATTAGGTGGCGTTCCTGAAAAAATGGATGAACATTTTCACTGTGGACCTATATTCTATATATGTAGTTCTGCAAGGAATTAGGTATCTTTCATGTATAAGGGTATATATTATATACGTTATAATATATATATATTATGGATAACGACAAAATGTGATTTGTTCTAAGTGTGGGTTTCGCCACCTAAATACGCCATATACAAGTATAGAGACAAACGTATACAAATATACAGGTTCAAATGTGTATATATAAATATGCATAATGACAAAATTGTGATTTGTTCTAAGTGTGGGTTTCGCAACCTAAATACGCACATATACAAGTATAGACACAAACGTATATATGCATATAGGTTCTAACCTGTATGTATGTATGTAGTGTAATGTAATGTAATGTAATGTAATGTATGTATGTATGTATGTATGTATGTATGTGTGTGTGTGTCTGTGTCTGTGTCTGTGTCTGTGTCTGTGTATGTATGTATGTATGTATCTATGTATCTATGTATCTATGTATGTATGTATGTATGTATGTATGTGTGTGTGTCTATGTATGTATGTATGCATGCATGCATGCATGTATGTATGTATTGGACTGTCCCCCTTACACTAACAGTCACCACAATCCAGACCACAAAAAAAAGCACAAGCACGATGGACCCAAAATGCCATTGAGAAGTTGGGTTGGCACATTTTGTCAGTCTACCAACCCACAAAGAAGTTGGGATTTTCACAGCATGAACCCAATAGTGCATAAAGAAGTTGGGTTTGTATATACTTTGACCGGAAAAGGCCAATGAGAGCTTAGGTCTGTATATTGAAAAATTTAGGGCAATCCAGTACAGAGACTCAGATCATGCGCCATCCTATCGAACCAAAGGATGCCCACCAAATAAATGGGTTTATGCTTTGCAGGCTGGCCCCAGAGTGATTTTGTTGGATAAAATTTCTTCATGACTAATATGACTTATCACAGAAAAAAACAATCATATCTCATTACATATGACGCATGCGACAGAATCATGTGTGCTGATACTCTGACACACCCTAGTCTTTACTTTGAAAAGCTTTGCTTCTCAGTTTAAAAGTATCATTGGCCGAAGGTTTTTCATATCGAATCATATGAATCACATGAATCATTTCATTGACTTGGCTGCCTGGTGTTCAAGCTAACCTGGGGCTTCACACTAACAGGTGCCAGAGATGGCCACACTAACGGGTGCCAGAGCTGGCCACACTAACGGGTGCCAGAACTGGCCACACTAACGGGTAAGCAGGATCCAGGCTCAGGCTGGGCTGGCAGGCCCTAGTCGACTGGGCTGCGGTTGTAAATTTTTGGGCTGGGAAGTTGTGCTTTTTAAGTAGCTTAGCCTAAACGTTGTGTTTTTTTTTGTGCGTTTTCTTGTGGTTAGTTGTGCTGTTTGTTGTGCTAATTTTTGTGGTCAAATAAACAAGGAAGTTGTGCACGATTTGTGTTTTTTTCTTGGTGAAGTTGTGACGTTTGTTGTGCTAATTTTTGTGGTTAAATCATCAGGGAAGTTGTGCACTTTTTGTGCTTTTTCGTTGATGAAGTTGTGGTCGGTGCCAAATATAAATTAAATTAGATGTTTTTATTTTTTCCTTGGCTTGTTGTTGTGCAAAAATGATCAGGGAAGTTGTGCTCTTTAAGCCTAAACGTTGTGTTTTTTTTTGTGCGTTTTCTTGTGGTTAGTTGTGCTGTTTGTTGTGCTGTTTGTTGTGCTAATTTTTGTGGCCAAATCATCAGGGAAGTTGTGCCCTTTTTGTGATCTTTTTGCATGGGAAGTTGTGCTTTTGATATTTTCTACCTTTTCCAAAAGCACGGCCGAGAGCACAAAAAAAACACGATAGCAAGCAAGGGTTTTCCCTTAGCAAAATTTGTCCCTTAGCAAAACTTGTCACCGAAAAATTTGTCCCTTAGCAAAATTTGCCCCTTAGCAAAACTTGTCCCTTAACAAAATTTGTCCCTTAGCAAAATTTGTCCCTTTAGCAGAGTTTGTCCCTTAGCAAAATTTTCCCTTTAGCAAAATTTGTCCCTTAGCAAAAATTTGCCCCTTAGCAAAACTTGTCCCTTAGCAAAATTTGTCCCTTAAAAAAAATCCCTGTAGCAAAATTCGTCCCTTAGCAACATTTGTCCCTTAGCAAAATTTGTCCCTTAGCAAAATTTGTCCCTTAGCAAACTCGTCCCTGCACTGCTGCCTTTCCCTTTGCCCAAAAGGGATTTTATCCAACAACATCTCTGCAAGCTCCAACTGAATAGATTTGATCTGGTTCCAAGTAGGCTGCCCCCAGAGTGATTTCATACTTCGGCTCAACACCAGAAAAATTTGGATTGAGAAGATTGGGCCTCTCAAATTGTTTGTGGTTTTGGTCCCTGGGTTGTTGTGCAATTTTGGCTGGGAAGTTACAATTAAAATCCATTATTCCACTGTTAGTGGGGGGGTCGCTCCACTGTATGTGGGTATGTATGTATGTATGTATGTATCTATGTATGTATGTATATTTACAAAAATAAATATGGAGAACGGCAAAATGTGATTTGTTCTAAGTGTGGGCTTCGCCACCTAAATACGCCATATACAGAGTATAGAGACAAACGTATACGGATATACAGGTTCAAATGTGTATATATATATTATATATATATTTGGATAATGACAAAATGTGATTTGTTCTAAGTGTGGGTTTCGCCACCTAAATACGCCCAGATACAAGTATAGACACAAACATATACATGTATATAGGTTCAAATAAATAAATATATATATATATAGATATTTATTTATATGCATAACAACAAAATGTGTTTTTTTAAAGTGTGGGTTTCGCCACCTAAATACGCGCATATACAAGTGTAGACACAAACGTATACAAATATACAGGTTCAAATGTGTATATATATATAATGGATAATGGCAAAATGTGATTTGTTCTAAGTGTGGGTTTCGCCACCGAAACACGCGCATATACAACTATAGACACAAACGTATACAAATATACAGGTTCAAATGTGTGTATATATATATGTGGATAACGACAAAATGTGATTTGTTCTGAGTGTGGGTTTCATCACCTGGAGAGCATGAGAAATGGGTCCTGTTAATATCCTTTTTAGGGATGTCGGAAGAAAACCCAGTTCCTTTATATAGATAATTTCTCTATATAAAATGTGGAGTGTGCTGCTTTCGGCTGAAACCCCCAAAAAAATTTCACCAGGCCCCCCAGGAAGAACAATCAAGGTTTATTGGTATCCTTCAAGTTTGTTCTATGTGTGGGTTTCACCAACTAGTGAGCGTGGGCAGGGGTCTCGCAGCAAGTGTTTTTGAACGAATACTTAATTCTTTGTTTCTATACACTATTCAATTGCTCATGTATATGTTTAAAAATATAATTTGTCAGTGGGACAAACGTTCAAGTGTTGTGGGGGGAATATGGTCCATTAAAATTGTTCTAAGTGTGGGTTTTACCAACTGGTGAGCTTGAGAAATGGATCTCGGGGCAATGTTTTTTTTTTCCAGGGGCGTATTTTTGGAAGAAAACATGGATCATACAGAAACTTTTTTTCAGGGATGGGTTTGTTCTATATTTTTTCTGGGTTTGATCATCGAGTGTGTTATCAGAACTCCAAAAATGAACCATTTATTTATATATAGATCATGTTTTTTGGAAGATTAACCGGGATAACAATCAATGGGTGGGTTATCATCAATTATCTGCAAAATATTCAAGATTATATAGCCGTAACAATCTTTGTTTATAGTGCCGGACATCTACTTAGAACAGAAAATCCCATTACTTAGAACAAATATCATTACACTTAGAACAGAAATCCCATTACTTAGAACAAATATCATACACTTAGAACAGAAATCACCCACTTAGAATAGGCATTTTGTTATACACATTCTAAGTTCTATTGTTCTAAGTAGGCCCTTAGAACAAAATTCCCCAGACATTTTGGAAAAATTGTTAAGTAGATGTCCGACACTATATATTTGGAAGATTTTGGGCTGAAATTCGCATGCCAGAACCTCATACACCAGCATAATAACATTTTTTATAGTCATTCCGAAGGGCCAAACAACCACATGCCAGAACCTATACACCAGCATAATAACAACATTTGGTGGTCATTACAAAGGCCTAAACAACCAGATCACAAGCTAAATGACCGCTTTTGTGATCATTCTAGAGGGTCCGTGTTTTTTTTCCAATCGTCGACCCGGATTTTTGAGCCATTTTGGGATTCTATCTTCGGACCTTTTTTTCTTTGAAATTCCAGAGATTCTATCTACTTCTTTAGGATGGTTATATAATATTCTATATATATATATTATATAGAGAGAGGAGTGCCGTGCCTTGCCTTTAAAGGAAATGTCCGTCCTCCATGGAAAGCAAGCATGCGGCTGTAAACTCCAGGTACTCGCAGGAATTGTCGCCATTGACGTCCAATGCTTTGGCAGTCTTCTTGGCAAGCTCTTTTGAAATACCAACAGAAACCAACGCTGACCTGTGAAGCCACACAGAAATCATGCTCGACATGGCCGAAGACTGGAGGGGAACTTTCTCAATCATACAAACATACATCAAGCGCGAAAATATCAGAACAGCATTGCGTGTCTCGTAACTTGGTTTTAAAAGGGGTGTATGCGTGAATTTTGGGCTGAGCTTCCCACACCAACTCTGGGGTGTCCAGAACACCGCTGTTGTCTGTGTCAAACTTTATGAAAAGCTTCGCAAACTTGTCGATGCAGGTGCAATTTGCTGCTACCTGTGAACAAAACATTAGCAAACAGCATGAAGGCCCTAAGCGTCACCAACTCTTGGCTGCGGCGACAGGTTTGCTGGTTGGCCACGAAAACGGCGAAAAAAGGTAAGGCAACAGCGGCCTTGAGGCAGAATGCGCGTTGACAAGGCGAGCGATCTCGCCAGGTCAGCACAGCCGAGCAAAGCTTTTCAAAGTCTTCTGAGGTGACTTCCTCGGGCCGGAAGGCAATACAGTTTCAGAGGGAATGATAGATGCAGCCAAACGCTATATACATGTGCATGGCTGGGCACAAATGTTCTATAGATGGTGCAAGAGAAAGACCTAGCCAAGGAAAGGGCCTCTGCTTGGTTCATCTTCAGCCAGGTGTGCTGCAAACTTTCTGCGGCACTGGGCCTAGCCTCAGACAGGTTCCCATGGTTCCCTGTCAAAGTCAAGAAAATGTCGCCGAGGCAATGCGTTAAGCTCCGAACATTCTCGCGAAAGGTAAGCAGCTGTTTGCACAGGGATTGCGCGTCTTGACCTTATAAAGGGACTAGTGTGATAGGGCTTCGATGGGAATCCTATTCTCACCTTGAAAGCCATGCTAAGCACTTCTTCTGATTATCAGCTGACGGTCCCAAATCTTTACTGGGCAGCCGGCTGCATCTTAGAATATTCCAATTCGGCCCTTTGCTATGCAGCTCAACCCACTTTGCCTGCAGGGCCGGGAAAGAAAGTCATGGGAAATCTTCCCAGCTTCTACCAACATCTAATATGCGTGTTCGGCGTGCGCGTGGGCGCTCGGCCTGCTGCTTTGCAGCACCTTCTGCCTTGGACCACGCCGGGGCTCAAACCCTGATGCTGCTGACCCCAGCTAGTTGCAGACATTTTCAAGTCTAAGAAGCAGGCATTTACCCGGACCTCGAACGGTAATCTATTGGTGAACATCTCAAACATCACGCACCCCATGCTCCACACGTCGCCTGGCATTTTTTGCCAAGCTGATGACGGATGCAAACCCGGCAGTACTTCCGCAACTGCAGAACAGGAACTTTGGCAATTAAATAGTAAATCCTGCAAACGTTTGAAACTGGGGCTGGAATTAAAATTCTCAATTGCGCCTAAGATTTTCGTAGTGGTGATGCGATAGACCTTGGGCCAGTTGGGCCCGGTGTGTTTATGGCTACGGTGAGGAAGGCCTGGACAAGTCTCGTGTCGAGGCAATCAAATGGGCCCTATGGCCTATGGCTTTTGCCAGTGGTTTGACCTTTTTTGGCAACCAAAGCCTTGCCCTATGGAAGTTGACTGCCCTACATCCGCAAATGTCTAAAATACCTAGATTCAAGTAGCATGCCCTCGGCTACCGCAGACCCTTTCCAATGTTAGCTCCAAAAAGCACTTGGGGCTTGCCCGGCTTGATGGCGGTGGAAATTTGCTTTTCCTTTGTCGTGACTTGAACAAGCTCACCAGTCAATGGTTTGTGGATCGGTTCCCGTGTTTGGTACCTGATTTTTGCGAAGCGGTTGTTGCCGCAATCTGTTGCTACAGATTCCACTGTGTAAAAAGCGTTGCAAATTCGCATCGCAAGAACACTGTTTGTGCTTATTTGTTGCCAAAGCCTTCGTAAACATCAAAATATCCTAGAATTTCCTAGAAGCAAGCAAAGAACTCCACAAAGCCCATCATCAAGACTTGATACGCTGGCAGCGGGAAAGCAACATGGGGCACGCCGCCACGTATTTCCCACAACCCTCCACAAATCTATTTTGGGCGTGGGTCACTGCGGGCCACCAAAAAAAAACACAGCTGACGGTCTGACAGACCTTTAGGAGATAGTTCGAAGGGAAGCCGGCGTGCCGGAAAGTGAAAACGCAACTGTTTTCCATTGCCTAGTTCCACTCACTGACAAAGCGCTGGTTTTTGACCTTGTTGCCAACAGGATTTTTGACGGCTCATGCGTGTGTACTCCTGCGCTCTTGCAGCCCGCGTTTGTGAGATTGGCTGCAGCTCGAACACACTTTCGGCTTTGCAGATCCTTAGAACCTGGTAGTGTCTGTGCGAATGCTGCTACGTTTGGCTCTTGCGCTTTCACATGCTTTCCTGTGCATGCTTCTTGGCCACTGACAGAACAGATTTGTGCAGGAGACGGCGCCAGACTCAGAAAGTTAAATATCCCCGTTGGGCGTTCAGCTTAGACTGCAACCGCAGGTTCCAGCCCAAAGCCAAAGTAAAAACTTGCAGAGCTAAGGTAGAGGGACAACAAATACTTTACTTCGAGTGATCCGCACCTTAGTATTTCGAGGCAAATATTGTGACATATATTTTGACATATATTCTGACATTCTACATAACATTAAATCTGATATCTATTCTGACATTCTACCTGCCATGCATTCTGGCATTCTATCTGGTATCTATTCTGGCATTTTTTCTGACATCTATTCTGGCATTCTGTCTGGCATCTATTCTGCCATGGCATTCTATCTGGCACTCTGAGCTTGCTGTCCGGGCCCTGCGGGGAACACTGCGATCTAGAGCTTGGCGGGGTTGAAGTTCGGCGGAGATCACTTTGATCCAGAGGTTGCTGTGCGGGTCCGGCAGGGAACACTGCGATCTAGTAGCTAGAGATTGCAGTTGAAGCCCGGAGGAACCACTTTGACCCAGAGGCCCAGAGGTTGCTGTTCGGGTCCGGCGGGGGCCGGCCACTGCTCCTGAGCTTGCTGTTCGGGTCCGGCGGGGAACGCTGCGATCTAGCGCTTGCAGCTGAGGTCCGGCGGAGGAGGCGGAAGAGGAGGCGGAGGATGAAGCGGGGCAGCTAGCATGAAATCTAACAACCTCACCTGACAGGTGGGGCAAAAGGGACAAGATGAAAAGCTGACCTGGCCCCATTTTCCGAAAACGAAAAAAGTTACAAAAGATTAAAACCAGTGTCACTGGGGTATGTTGACAATCAAAAATGGCACAGGGGATGAAACAGCAGTGCTCAGCATGTGATTAAACACAACCTTTAACTAAAAAATGAACACTTCCCCGGGAAATGGTCAATGACAGCCAAATCTTCCCACCCAGTTTTTGCTCCCACATCGTCTCAATGCCTTGTTAGCATTGCACATGCCAAAGCCTTCAATGTTGGCAAAAAAATATCTCATACGTCCCTGTTTTGAACTTTGCCGGAACAGCTCTCCATGTTACACCACGCATGTGTGCCAACCCATCCTGAAGAAACGTCCCAAAGATAGACCATAAAACTTCAGATCCGAAGATTTCATCTCACACATCCCTGTTCTGAACTTTGCCGGACATAGCTCTCCACGTTACACCACGCATTTGTGCCAACCCATCCGGAACCAACGTCCCAAAAATACACCGCAAACTTCGAATCAAGGAAGATTTCTTAAGACTACAGTCGATGGACAAAATATTCAAACCCTGCAGCACGCACTATGTTGAACCCCCGCACCCCCAAATCTCAATGTTTCAGCGCGCGTGTTAGCAAAAGTGATGTTAGGGGTGTGATTTTTTTCGTCCATTGGGGCTAACGCGCTTCAGGTTACAATAACATTGAACTTTGGGGGCGAGGGGGTTGTACCGGATAGAAGGGGTTTGAATATTTCGTCCATCATCGTCCATCTACGGTACCAGTTGGTACCGTCTCGCTCTCTGATGTTTTCACATCTTTTGGTCTCCAAACTCTGTTGTGGAAACATCAATGTGCATGCTGCTGATCTTCTTCCAAGCTGAGCAAGGCATTGGCTTTTCACAAGTAAATGCCTACTGTCTGTCTCCCGTCCCATTTTTTCTATTCCCTAATTCGCAACTTATTCCTAAGTGCACAAAACATTGTGTTTTCACAGGTAAGTGCAACCTTTGTGCTTCCCGTCCCATTTTTTTCTATTCCCTAATTCGCAACTTATTCCAAACTGCAAAAAACATGGTGTTTTCACGTCAAACGAATAAGTCCTGAATTAGGGAATAGGAAAAAATGGGACGAGAGAGGCATGAACACCTACCCGTGAAAACACAATGTTTTGCGCATGTTGGAATAAGTTGTGAATTAGGGAATAGGAAAAAATGGGACGAGAGACACATGCAGCATTGACCCGTGAAAACACCATGTTTTTTGGCGTGTCGCTCTCTGATGTTTTCACATCTTTTGGTCTCCAAACTCTGTTGTGGAAACATCAATGTGCATGCTGCTGATCTTCTTCCAAACTGAGCAAGGCATTGGCTTTTCACAAGTAAATGCCTACTGTCTGTCTCCCGTCCCATTTTTTTCTTTTCCCTAATTCGCAACTTATTCCTAAGTGCACAAAACATTGTGTTTTCACAGGTAAGTGCAACCTTTGTGCTTCCCGTCCCATTTTTTTTCTATTCCCTAATTCGCAACTTATTCCAAACTGCAAAAAACATTGTGTTTTCACGGGTAAATGCTGCATGTGTCTCTCGTCCCATTTTTTCCTATTCCCTAATTCACAACTTATTCCAACATGCGCAAAACATTGTGTTTTCACAGGTAGATGTGCATGTCTCTCTCGTCCCATTTTTTCCTATTCCCTAATTCACGACTTATTCGTTTGACGTGGCCCTGCCAATGGATTTTGCAACTTGAACAGCATGAGACAGCTCCTAATTAAAAATACGAAATATTTTTCTCTTAAACAGAAGCAGCACGTCACAAATGACATAATCCATTGGCAGGGCCACGTCAAACGAATAAGTCCTGAATTAGGGAATAGGAAAAAAATGGGACGAGAGACACATGCAGCATCTACCCGTGAAAACACCATGTTTTTTGCAGTTTGGAATAAGTTGCGAATTAGGGAATAGAAAAAAAATGGGACGGGAAGCACAAAGGTTGCACTAACCTGTGAAAACACAATGTTTTGTGCACTTAGGAATAAGTTGCAAATCAGGGAATGGAAAAAATGGGACGGGAGACAGACAGGAGGCATTTACTTGTGAAAAGCCAATGTTTTGCGCAGTTTGGAAGAAGATCAGCAGCACGCGCATTGATGTTTCCACAACAGAGTTTGGAGACCAAAAGATGTGAAAACATCAGAGAACGAGACAGTAGGTAGGTGTTAGGTTTTGGGAGTCAGGTGTTCAAATTTTGTAAAATATCAAACATTTTTGGAAAAAGTGCGATGTTTCAGCGCGACCCTTTGCAAACGCATTGGCGCGTCAAAACTTTGCTGTGCATATTCACCAGAAAGTTCAGCAAGTCCATAAGAATTTGATCGTCATATGTTTCATGATTCAAAGAAACTGGCTAACAGAAACACTGGCCGAGATTGCTCTGTCTGCCAATCTCTTTCTTGCAGCCAGATTCTTCTTGCTGGTCATGTTTTTTGCTGGATGGCATGGCGGCCTGAATCTGCTCCCCCCTCACAAGTCAATGACTTCGTTCCTAGCCCACCCACTTTGAAAGGGCGAGCCTACGTGTTTATGGAGAAATGCGAGCCAATGTGGATAGCAGGTCCATGGCAGGGGTGCCAGCTGTCCTGCTGACATATACATTTCATGCTCAACTAGTTTCTTTGCTTGCTTCATTTGGGGACAAAATGGTTGTTTTCCTGAGTTATCTCAACCTCAACGCTTGGGAGAAAATTGCTATTTGAAAAAAACGTTTTCCTGAAATCATGTGTTTCTATGAAACTGTGTTAGACGACAAGCTTTTTCAACGTTGTGTTGCCAGGGGCTGGTGCCATGAACTTGTGCTTGAAGTTCAAAGACCTTCTTGTTGAAACTGTCGGGCGCTGTCAATTTCAATGACAAACGTGGGCGTTTCTTTTGAAACAGTTCAGGCTAGAAGATCTACTGAAAGTGGTTTGTTGTTGATTGTGGGTGGGTGCCAAACTAGTAACCTCTTCCTTGGAACCGTGGGATGTTTGATGTATTGTTGACAACATGTTTTAGGTGAGCAGGGCTGTTCTAGCTGGTATGAAGTTGGGTCTTCGTAATTTTGTTTCCGTGCTAGTTGTGATAATCGTAGTTGTGTTCCGTGCTTCTCCCGTCCCAGTTGTGGAGCCGCTCTGCGGTGGTCAGCTTCCATTTCCTTTCAATCCATTTGTCAGAAATGCGCACCCAGCATCAATATAGGCATGACATGGATCTTGCGCAATGCACATGAAACTTGCGCAGTGGGCGGGGGTCGCAAGTTTGGGTGCGGGTCACTGTGCGAGTTTCAAATGAAACTTGCGCAGTGGGGGGGGGTCGAAAGCCTGGGGGCGGCTCGCTGTGCAAATTTCAAATGAAATTTGCGCAGTGGGCGCAGTGGGGGGAGGGTCGAGAGCCGGGTCGAGGGCCTGTTGGCGGCTCGCTGTGCGAGTTCCAATTCAAACTTGCACAGTGGGGGGAGGGTCGAGGGCCTGTGGGCGGCTCACTGTGCGAGTTTCAAATGAAACTTCCGCAGCGCAGGGGTACAACCAGGACCATGTACAACGGAGGGGGAGGTCAAGGAGGGGTGCAATGTGCAAGAACATAAATTCCATACCAGTAGTACCGCACAAGGCGGTGGCGGAAGTTTCAAAAATAAATAGGAAACCTATAGGAGAGATTGGTTGTTGTGAATCAGGGATGGCAGAGCGAATCCACTGATGGACCGAAAGGTGCTTGAGGTCTCCTCTCTTTCTCTCTCTTTCTCTGACCATCTACCTACCTACCTATGTATCTTCTATGTATCTATCTATCTATCGATCTATCTATCTCCCTCTCTCTTTCATCTAATTACCTATCTATCTATCTATCCATCTATCTATCTCTCTCTCTCTCTCTTTCATCTGTCTATCTGTCTATCTGTCTATCTGTCTAGCTGTCTATCTGTCTATCTATCTATCTATCTGTCTGTCTGTCTGTCTACCTGTCTATCTGTGGTGCAGTGTCATTCAATGTAATGTAGTGTAGTGTAATGTAGTGTGGTGGAGTGTAGCGGAATGTAGTGTAGTGTACTGTAGTGAAGTGTAGTGGAAGGTAGTGTAGTGTAGTGTAATGTAGTGTAGTGTAGTGGAGTGTAGTGTAGTGTAATTTAGTGTAGTGGAGTGTAGTGGAGTGTAGCGGAGTGTAGTTGTGTAGTTGTAGTTGTAGTTGTAGTGTAGTGAGGTGTAGTGGAAGGTAGTGTAGTGTAGTGTCGTGGAGTGTAGTGTAATGTAGTGTAGTGTAGCGTAATTTAGTGTAGTGGAGTGTAGTTGTGTAGTTGTAGTTGTAGTTGTAGTGTAGTGGTAATGTAGTGAAGTGTAGTGGAGGGTAGTGTAGTGTAGTGTAATGTAGTGTAGTGGAGTGTAGTGTAGTGTAATGTAGTGTAGTGTAATTTAGTGTAGTGGAGTGTAGTGGAGTGTGGTGAAGTGTAGTGGAGTGTAGTTGTGTAGTTGTGTAGTTGTGCAGTAGTGTAGTTGTAGTTGTAGTTGTCGTTGTAGTGTAGTGGAGTGTTGTAGTGTAGTGTAATGCAGTGAAGTGTATTGGAAGGTAGTGTAGCGTAGTGTAATGTAGTGTAGTGTAATTGGAAGGTAGTGTAGCGTTTAGTGTAGTGGAGTGTAGTGGAGTGTAGTGGAGTGTAGTGTAATTTCGTGTAGTGGAGTGTAGTTGTGTAGTTGTAGTTGTAGTTGTAGTGTAGTGGTAATGTAGTGAAATGTTGTGGACGGTAGTGTAGTGTAGTGTAATGTAGTGTAGTGGAGTGTAGTGCAGTGTAATGTAGTGTAGTGTAATTTAGTGTAGTGTAGTGGAGTGTAGTTGTGTAGTGGTAGTTGTAGTGTTGTGGAGTGTAGTGTAGTGTAATGTAGTGTAGTGTAGTGTAGTGGAGTGTAGTGTAGTGTAGGTATTGTAGTGTAGCGAAGCGAAGCGACATCTGAACCTCCAAAAGTGGTCCGAACCCCTGGTGTTTTTAACATTTTGACTTCGAAATGTGCTTCGCCCACATGGCCACTTTTTCGACATCTGAACTTCCAAAAGTGGTCCGAACACCTGGTGTTTTTAACATTTTGACTTCGAAATGTGCTTCGCGCCACAACAGCGTGCACTTTTTCGACATCTGAACCTCCAAAAGTGGTCCGAACCCCTGGTGTCTTTGACATTTTGACTTCGAAATGTGCTTCGCGCCACAACAGCGTGCACCTTTTCGACATCTGAACCTCCAAAAGTGGTCCGAACCCCTGGCGTTTTTAACATTTTGACTTCGAAATGTGCTTCGCGCCACAACGGCGTGCGCTTTTTCGACATCTCAACTTCCAAAAGTGGTCCGACCATGGTGTGCTTTGTACATTTTGACTCCGAAATGGGCTTCGCGCCACAACGGCGTGCACTTTTTCGACATCTGAACTTCCAAAAGTGGTCCGACCATGGTATGTTTTGTACAGTTTCACTTCGAAATGTGCTTCGCGCCACAACGGCGTGCAATTTTTCATCTCTCATCTGGCCAGCTGGCTCCGCACCCGCCGCTTTAGCGAGCCTACTTTTCGACCGTCCGGAGCCTCAAATCATTGGAAAAACACAGTGTTTTGCGACTTTCCTACCTTTTCGCGCATCTGCATCTTCTTTCTTCTGACTCTTTCTCTTCTGATCTTCTCTCTTCTAATCTTTCTCTTCTCTCTGCCTCTGCCCTGTTCTGCTTTTCATCTGTCCATATTGTCGGAAGTTTGACTTCTAAACTTCCTTCGACAAGGATGTGCAGATTTCAATTGAAACTTGCGCAGTAGGGGGGGCTTTGGGAGGAGGGCACTGTGCAACATTGGTGGAGATGACAATCCTTTGTAGACTTCTCAGATTGGAGCAAGGCTTGCAATATTGAAGAGGTTCCACAGCAGCTGCTGATCCCCTGATGCGCCTAACCTGGATTTTCTCTTCTACACTAACTTTGACTGACAAGCATACAACTGCGATACCTACCTCACGAACTGACCTGGTCTGGTAAGCCCACCAAGCACGGTCAGCACCCATGTCAATCCCTTGGGATAGTTGTTCAAAGCATGGCAGGCCGACTTTTGGGCCCGCAACTGCCCGACCAAACCTACACATTCACTTGCATTGGCGTCGCATACTGGCAAAAATTCGCGGCTTGTAGGCCATGCAACTCCACATGCTGATGCTTCAACTCTAACAGCCTCGGGTGCCATGGTGGCCGGAGTGCCCGCTACCTACCAGGGCATGTCATGAACTGCACATTTGGCGGCCCGGATTCCACTGGTGACCCAACCGAAAATCCCAGCCTTGCTTCCGCGAAGGCCTCAGCAACCGAGTCTTTAAGCAAGTTTCGCACGACGGTTAAATAATAAATTCTTCCGACAAGTCAACACCACTGTGGCCCGAAGAGGTTCCACAATCAAGCAAAACTCTGCGCCACCCCGCATGGAGGCACGGCGGGACACAACACGTGATGCAGACTGTTTGGTATCAAGCCACGACGCTCAGAAGGTGACAGGATGGGAGAAAAGGCTAGCTCGCAAAACAGTTTTTAAATTGGGAGGAAAACAGGCTGAGCAGCTGCTAAAAATCCCCACCTCTGCTTTAAAGCTGTATACTGGGCGCACGGCCAAAAATGCCACGGCAGCAGATCTCTGCAATGCCGAGATCGCAAATGACAACGTGGGGGAGGCGAGCAAAAACATTGCCATCTTCTCGCCTTGGTTGAAGTTAGAGCGGTGGCGCAAGTCTTCAAATGGCAGGTGTGAATCAAGAAGCGCCAAGGCCAAGGCGTATCATGCAACAAGAGCAAATTCTGGCCTTTCAAGTCTTTGTGGACCACGCCCTTGGAGTGGATGTAAACCTGGCAAGTGAGGCAAGCAGGTGTAGTCCTGCCAAGGAGATGCGCAATATAGAACAACCAGGAAATCGAGGGCGCTGACTGGCGCTGACAAAATACTAAGGACGCTGCCAATGCTTGAAAGCTTTGCCGGATGCTGGCAGCCTCAGACCCCCACAATCTTTGCAAGAATCGCCCCCAGCTAAAAGCATGTCTTAATAGAAGAAGAAAATGCCTTGCGTGTCCAACACCCGACGCGCCCTAAGAGGTAATGAGTTCTTGCGCTGGCGAAAGTACTGGCCTGAGCACTAGAGCCGTCTGAGCGCTTTACTGCCCACCGTTCTGGCAAAGCATCTCCTTGCCGGCGCCCTTCTCTGACAACCTGCCAGACGGGCTTGGGATTTTGTGCAAGATGGCAAGCTATGAGCGCAAATCTGGCTTTTCGGATGGCTTCTGCCTTGAGCAGCTCGCCGCCGTCGCAATGCTCCATGAC